TACAAAAACCCACCCCTGAAACGTATTTCTCCTGTGCCTCTCTGCGCAGCTTGCATGGCCCCCAGCCCAGATCAGCCTTCTGCTGCGTTGCCCCTCGGAGAGCAAGAGCCAGCCTGTTCACCCAGCCCGGGAGCTGTGGGCTGGTTGCAGCCCTCTGCGTCCTCCACCCTGCATGGGATGAACCAGTGGCTCTAAAGCCTGAGCGATCCCAGGCTGTCGGGCAAAAGGCAGACCAACCGTATACTGGGCTGCATCAAAAATAGCGTGGCCAGCAGGTCAAGGGAGGGGATTCTGCCCCTCTGCTCTGCTCTGGTGAGATCCCACCTGCAGTCCTGCACCCAGCCCTCAGAGATATCATCACAAATATGATCCGAGGGCTGAGCACCTGTCCTATGAGGAAAAACTGAGAGAACTGGGGTTGTTCAGCCTGGAGAAGGCACCAGGGAGACCTTAATGCAGCCTTTCAGTACTTAAAGGGGGCCTGCAGGAAGCATGGGGAAAATCTTTTTAGCAAGGCCTGTTGCGTCAAGACAAGGAGGGTAGATTTAGGCTTGACATAAGGAAGAACTTTTTTACAATGAGGGTGGTGAAACACTGGCACAGGTTGCCCAGAGAGGCAGTGGAGGCCCCATCCCTGGAAACATAAACATTGAAGGCCAGGTTGGATGGTGCTCTGAGTGACCTGGTCTGGTTGAAGATGTCCCAGCTCACTGCAGTGGGGTTGGGCTAGATGACCTCTAAAGGTCCTATCCAACCCAAAGCATTCTATGATTCTATGATTCTACTTCTGCTGGACTACATAGAAGGTACCACTTGAAACAAGACACAAACGCACTGTATTGCTTAGGTTGTCTGCTGCAACCCATATTTAGGTACTTGGTGGTGCGTGTATTTGTTTGAAATTTCACCCTGGTCTGCTATAATCCAAACACTGCAGCACACAGGTGCTTTCAGGGTAGAGTTACTATTGGACACTCCATCAGCACCCAAAATTGCCCAGGAAAGGAAATACCTCAGAAACCAGGGAAGAGGAAACTTCAGTGGAAGATTCAGGTGGGACTTGGTATCATCTTAATTCCTTTATATACCTGCCTTAGGGACAAGGCTACTTAAATACCGAAGTGATTACTGCCAGAACTGCCTTACCATTGCTGGCAATTTTGGATATGCACCGGTGGCAGGCTTTCTCCAGGCCGGCAGTCATTGTGAAGAGCCTTTTGGGGTGTCTGTGGAGATAGAGAAAGGAATATGGTTATGAAAAGTGTCTTTGACTTACTGGATCTCTTGACTCAGAGTCACTCTACACACTTTGGCAGGCTTTCACTACCCTCAAAAAACTCAAAGCATCCGCAAATCCAGACAGCAGCCATTAGTGTGGCACACCCAGAGCCAGGTATGCCTTCCAGCAGCTATGGGCTTGCCTGCTGGTGGTGCCAGAGCTTTGGGGTCGCTGGAAGGCTGGGGGAGAAGTATTCATGCTGTCTTCCTGGAAACTATAAAAGGTTCCATCTTGACTTTGATTGGGGTTGGGGCAGGACAAAGTGTATTTAACTGTTACGAGAAATCCCAGTGGAACCAGTGATGTTCACTACACAAACCTCTGCAAAAATAATTTAATGAGCAATAATGAATTAAAGAAAAGGGGAGAAGGGAGGATGAAAACAGTTTTAAGATCAAGGAGGGTTCTGAAAAGAAATATAGAATAAAACTGCAGACCACAGGGAGCCCAGAACAAGATGCCTTTGATAAAAAAGTATCTGGATTAGAAAGTAGCTCTTTGTAAAGAAGAGTTTTTATGAGGTGGGGTGAGGGATGAGCCAGCAGCTAGGCATGCAAGGCCTGGGCGTCAGACAGCACCAGACAGTTAAGTAGCATCCACTGTCAATGGGAGTGTGGAAAGCTCACACGCGCGCGCACACACACACACACACACACACACGCTCTAAGCCTCAGTCTCTGGCCAGGGTCACCACCAAGTGTGTGACAGATGAAGGTGTGGGCAGAGGAGGCCGGGATGGGGGAAGCTGCATTTCTGCACATACCTCAAATTAGCCTCTAAATTTCCCAACCCCCCTGCCAAAGCAGGGTCACCTACAGCAGGCTGCACAGGACCTTGTCCAGGCAGGTTTTGAATATCTCCAGAGAAGGAGACTCCACAACCTCCCTGGGCAGCCTGTTCCAGTGCTCCGTCACCCTCAGAGTAAAGAAGATCTTCCTCAAAATTTCCTACTGATTAAAGAGCCATATTTTAAGCTTCCCTCACTCTGTTCTAAGTTAACATGAACCCCACCTCAGTGGGATTTCTCATCATGCAATGCTGAGCCCAACCTGGCCCAGAGCCTGCAAGGGACCACAGGGCCCCAGACATGTGTCAAAAATCAAGACAGGTTTGTACCATGCAGCTGATACGTGGCCATACCTCCCTCCATAGCTTGTCTAAGCCCTACTAGACGTGGCTGAGCAGAGCTGGCTGTCTCCTGGGAGCCTTCTTTCTCCTGCAAGCCCAAAGACCCGCACTCTGCAGCAGCACAGGACCCTCTGCTGCCATGGGGAATGGGACGGGGTTTAGTCCTTGCATGCTGGCGTTGCAGTTGCTGTTTCATGGCAGTGACAGCAGTAACAGAGGCAGGACTGGCTTCACCTGTTGGTGAGCAGCCAAGCAAGTAGCAGGGACTGAGGCTTTTGCGGACATCCCACCAGGTCACTAACCCATGCTGAGACACTTGCACGTAGCAGCCAGCCACCAACATATATATCCAGGTTTCTAGCGTGCACCATCGCGTCAGGTTTCTCATGAATTCTAGCTCTTCTCCAGCCCTCACCTCCATACTCTGCCACAAGCCTCATCTGGTGGATGTTACTGCTGTAATAAGTCATGCAAATCCCAGTGGACCCCTCCATCAATACCGAAAAATGGACTGGAATGGAGATTACATATGAGTGGCTGACCTCTGGGGAGTGCATACTCCTCGTCCTGGCCACCCAGCCTTCTTCAGAAGAGCAAATACTGTGCCTTTGGGATGCAATTATTGACAAATATTTTAAGGAAGGAAACGACCACTGTTGCATGCTCAGAGAAAACAGGAAGGAGGAAGGGAAACTGGTAGTTTCCACAACCAAATGTCACATTAATTTTAAACTTCAAAACTTTTGGTGCAGATTTGTTCCTAGCAAGTTCACAAACAGGTATTCATTATAAGTGTGCCTTTGGCTGCTGACAAATGTGTTCTAAATTATGAAGAGATCAGTAATATTAGTCTGACTCTAAATGTTCATAACTGAAATTATAGCAGTAATTCTTACAGAAACCATGTCAACAAAACCAATGCCGTATTAAAAATTAGTTGACTAATAAATTATCTTCAGCAGAATTGCGTGTGGCTGGGAATGCTGTATTCCCATAAGCAGAGAGTAAAACATATGTTTGGTCTAAATTTACCATTATTTTACACTAAAGAAAAAAAGACAAACCGAAGCAGGACTCGGTATCTGGGAGCATGTCACCATCTAGTGATAGAGCCTAGAAATGCCTGCGAGTCCGAGCTCCCTGAGTGCAGTTTTAACAGGTGAGATAAAGAGAACGAATTCATGATGGCTGCACACAAACCATGTTCACACAAGGACTCAACCTACAGAACAACCAGGTGATGGGTTCAGGCCTTCCTCAGACATTGGCTTGGACTCCTACAGGACTGACAGATCCCTCAGAGAAGTCATTACGTTTGCTGGATAAATAGATACTGCCCCTTTCCCTCAGCACTTTGGTGATTCTGCAGAAGCTGCTGTGGGTCTTAAAGATGAATATTCTCCTGTGTGCCAATGCGTGAGGGTGCTAAAGTGCAATTCAGCAGCCAGGCAGCTGGGGAACGGTTTTATTTCCCAGCTGAAATGGAGAAGTGATCGCTGAAACTTGCAGGAAGCTGCAAGTGGTGCAGCATGGAGACTGGTGGCATGCAAAGGCAGGGCAGAGGTCCTGCCACACACTGCCCGCTCCCGGTTTGCTGGTGAGTTGGGAAAGTCACATGCAAAATGTAAAACTTAGCCACAACTAGGAAAAAAAGTTGAAGACCAAAGCCAACTTCTGGACCTCCTCCCAGTACTCCTCTCCTAGGGTCATTTCCCTGAGGTGGAGGGACCCGCTCTTGTGTTACAGGGGCCAGCAACGTGGTGACAAGTTTCTGAGCCCCTGGCAGGAGGCTGGGGCCTCTCCACACACCCCCTTTTTGGGGTGGCAGGTTGCAACCCAGCCTCAGCAGAGCCACAGCATCCCTGTGCCTCCCCCAGCCTACCCAGCACCTCCCCATCCCGTGCCCTCTCCACCGGTGGCCAGGTTTGCCCCAGCGTGCTGGCTGCTGCCCGCCTGGCACTTGTGCCGTGTCCCACATTGCTGCCTTCTGTTGTAACTCAGTTCCTTGTCCCTGGCAAGCAGTGGTGGTAAGTCTCTGTAGCACAGACCCTCCATCCCAGTTCCTTTGTTATTTCAGCCAGTTTTAGCTTTGAACTATTTTTCTGGTCATTATTCTCACCCTGGGTAGCACGACTCGAAAGACGAGCAGCATTGACCACCTGGTGCACCCCTGACCCACAGCGAAGCCAAAAGGCAGCTTCACGCTGGCCCCACCAGACATCAGCCCAAACAAGATCTACCTCCAACACTTGTCCTGCAGCGTTCAGTCTTCTCAAACCAAGCTGTGCCCTCTCCCAGCTTCGGGTGCCCCTCTCTGCATTGACGAACACAGCAGGCAGAGCCGCTGTGTTGCTGAGACCCCGGTTCCCCTCAGCGGCTCCCGACTGCTGCGGGTTCCTGCTGGGACATGGTGGGGGCACGTGGGCCAGCAAACCCCTCCGGAGCAAGGTCTCTTCTCTAGAGACTGCTGGTGGGATTGGTTTTAATTTTCTAAAGTGTTCAGAGCAAAGTCCTCTTCTGCAGGACAAGCCACAAAGCCCCACACTGGCTTTTATCCCGGCTCACCGTCCGCTTCCCAGCAAATCTCCCTTACCTGAGAGTGCCGTGGGTGCCGGATCCGTTCACCTGTGCGCCTGTGAGACCGGGCAGAGGAACCGCAAAATCCAGCCTCCGGTGAAAGCCGGCTGGGAGAGCCCTCTGCGGTGGGCTCGCTGGGACCCTGCCCGCGGGCAGTGAGGCGCAGAGGGGGTGCTCGGCTGCTTTTATCCCTGCTGGCCCCCCGCTCGCACACCTCTCGGCGGCAGCAGCGTGGGAGCTGTGGGGTGCGGGAGCGCTTGGCGGCAGAGCCCATCCTACAAAGTCTTTCATTTTAGAAAAAAAAAAGAAAAAGAATTCATTTATTCAGGAATGAGTAGTGAGTGGTAAGTGTGTGGTTTGTTCTTGGCGCAGTTTCCCCCCCTTCCTATCGATGCAGTTGACAGAGCTCTTTGCGAGCTGCCACGTAGATAACCTTAACCGTTGGCTGGTTTATACGTCTTGTGTCACCCTGGCAGAGGTCTATTTGTTCGGCGGTTGCTTGCTAGGTCGCCTTCCCATCGGCAGGTGACAATTTGGCATCTCAGGTCTGATTATAGGTGCGGGACCATTTGCTGGAAACCCTTTGTTTCTGTACGAGAGAAGGTGGTTTTGAAGGAGCGCACCTCTGCGGGAGGAGTGACAGCGCTAACAGAGATCGACCTGCATTTCGAATCCTTTCGGAAAGGCCCCACAAGGAACGAAAAGGTTACCTGCTGCGTTAGTCATCGGCAGGGAGCCGACAAAGTGCCTGCTCCGACTCAGGAGGAACAGTTCTGCCTTCAGCTGTCAGGTTCGCACAGTTCATCGCCAGCATCATTCCCAGTGCTAGAGGTCTTGCATTAAGAAAAGGGCATCCACGCTGGGGTCAGCCAAGCGAAGGCAAAGGATGGTGTTTGGCGGGTAACTGTGCATGCTGCTGGGTCAGCAAAATATACCTGCGCGTGCACAAGCTCGTGCTGGTTTTTATACCCTCTGAGGTTTTCCCCGCTGCATGGCCACATGCGCTGGAAAAAGCACTGACCTCATGGTTACGGGACTGCCTGTTTTCCGTAGCCAAGCAGAGCGACAGAGGTGAAATACTGAGCTCTTCCCCGACGCTTCATCCGCTGGATGCTCCTTTTCTGAGCACAGGTAACATCGGGCAGCACAGAAGCTTGTACCACTCCTGCAGCGCTGCCTGCCCCACACCTCCTCAGTCCAAACTGAGGTTTTAATATAAAAAGCATAGTGCAATTGAAGCCTTTGCTTTTCTGGTTTTGGCTCTTTCAGCCTCATCTTTCACACACAACGTGAGGCCTCAGAGGGGCTGCATGGCTCAAGGAGACACGCTGCAGGCCATGGCACTGTGGGAAGACCACGGAATATAATTAAATTTTTTTGATAAAATGGTGAGGAGTATCAGCACTGAAAGCGATGGATCAAAAAAAAGGTTCAGCCTCCCACTCTGATGGCTTGGAACTTCATGAGCCATCAGTCCCACGTGAAGAGGTAGCAGCAGCTCCTAGGGAAGGTGTTAGATGCAGAACATGGGGCAGCAGCAAATGCAGAATGGGGTAAAATCCCAACTACAGCTGATTCTACAGCTATGAAGCAAGACAATCTGAGAGAGTAAAAGAGAAATTTTGCTAGTGTGTCTTCAGGTCCAAGGCTGGAGGCCTAGAAAGTTTTGGTTGAGGAAGTTTGGCAGCGAAACAAAGGGTGGGACTGAGGCTTTTATTCATTGCACTTCAGCAGGGGTTTGTTTGAGCTCTTGAACAGGGAACCCGGCTCCTCTGTGCAGTCAGGGAAGAGATCAGGGACGCACTTCTGGAAGGCTCTGATGCTCTCCACTGGTGCTGGAAGAGGCACAGGAGGAAGAGACCTAAACAGGCCAGCCGAGTGGCCAAACCGGACAGCTTGGCTTTATGTGGTCCTGGTTCTTCTTTGCTACAGTCTAACAAAGCTCCTTCTTCCAGCGGAGACAGCTGCTTCTCCTGCGGTTATTCCCAGGCCAGTGCCTGGCACGGGACATCAACAAGGATTTCAGTGATCTCCAATGTCACTGCCTTCTTTTGGGGTGCTTTTTCTCACCCTTTGCAAAATTGTGAGGCAAGTTTTGGGTAGCCTGTGACTGCTGAGGTCACGCCACGGTGGTCACACATTCTAACCTACGGCCTTCTAGCTTGTGTGCTGATCTCCTCGTGACTGCCGAGGTCACTGGGCTGAGCTGGGCAAAGGGGCTCTGCGACACGGCCACAAGCCAGAGCACTGTCTCCTCAAACACCCACCCCTGCTCAGACCAGGAGGGACTCCCACATCACCCCATAAAGTGCATTTGGGATTCTTTCACAAGGTGCCTTTTTGGAAGAAGTTGCACATCGCCATGGATTTTCCTGACTATTTAACGGTTAGTGTGGAGAGGGGAAGAGCTATGCCGAGATACTGCCTTTACTTTTCAGTTTGCATTTATTTTCAGTTATTTTTCACCCTCCATACGGGGTGAGTACTTTTGCCATAGGGCTTTCTCCTAACTTGACGACTCAGAAGTCAAAGGCAATATAAAAATAGTCCCCCATCTCCTACGTTATTTTGTTCTTTTCAAATTGGAACAGTATGACTGTTTTCTTAAATGCTGCTTGTAATCAGGAATGTTACATTTTGTTGTATAAATTATCCTTGTGTATTGAAATATAAACAGCCCATGGAAAAGAAATTCAGTGTACAATTCATTTCTTCCATTTTTCAAGGCAAGAAAAGTGTACTTATCTGCTTACGCAGAGCAAACCAATCATCAATACCGACTTACCAGCATTTTAATGATCGCCTGCAGGGATCCCAGAAATTACAACGTTCAATCATCACAAAAAGATCATGGCAAAAAATAATGGGGACCAACAGTCCCTGTGGAAGTGCAGCCGGCGTTGCCAGTGACACTTTGGGATACCATTAAGCTGCTTGATTCTGGTGATTCTAAAGGAAAATTTTAGGCAGCCTTAGGAAGATACTGGGACTAGAAGTGCTATCGGTGCAGCAAGTCACTGAGTGCCCTGTCCAAAGTCCCTTGGGCTGTAAGAGCCAGGAGGTGACCGTCTCCATCTCCTGGTGTGGTCTGGAAGCTGCAGAGCTCGGTGCAGGGACAGAAGCTGTGAAACGCTTTAGCCTGCCGACACACACAAGCTCAGACCAGGCGCTTTGTTCTCACTCGCATCACCAAGGAGATGTTTTTGTGTGGCTCTCACAATAAATTACAGGGCCGCGTGAAGCCTGCCGCTGTGGATGTTTCAGTTCCTCGGCTTCTTCTTACAAGACTGCCTTGGGGAAGCGAGGTTTATGTGCCAGTCTTCAAGGCGGTTTGCTTGGCCCATGCCCAAGAGGCAAGGCAGAAAATGAGAACATAACAGTCTGCTTCACGCTTCTTCTTAGGACAATTTATCACAATGTAACTGAGGCCTAGGAAACAGAGAGACAAGGGACAAAATGTGCTGGAGAGTAACTTTATCGAAGTCTAGTAAGGGGTAACTGCTTGTGTTGCAGCTTCCCCCCAGCTGGGTCTCTTTTCTTGTGCTTCAAACATGCAGCATGCAAGCAGAGCAGGACGAGATCTGCCTTGTTTCCATAGGAAAGGCGGTTATGAGATGCAAAGGTACCAGCTGTGGCTGAGGACGTCTGCAAGCCTCCAGCCCTGCCTGCTGGAGGGTAATCCTGGGAAAGTAACAGGAGGTGTTCCCTGGGTCCAAAGCCAGTCTAAGGCAGGGTGATGGGCTGGGTGTCCTGACCTCATTTGCTTCTGTCTCCGAGTCTTCAACTATTCTACCAAGTTCAGTCGAAATCAGCAAGTGGATTCAAAAGTTATCAGAGGGAACAACCAGACAAGAGCCAAGGCGACAAATGCACTCAGCTTGTTTCCATAGGAAGCCAGGCTAAAACAAAAGGCCGGTGTTTGAAGAGTTACTATTGAAATTACTTTCTTAGGAATATTTGCTGGTTTTCTACAGTTTATAAAAAAATATTCTTTCATTTGTATTGCATGGCATTCATCAGAGATTGTCTCCCATCGGTAATTCAGCAAGTGAACCTGTGCGTTGTTCTGTGTAAAGAAAATTTTCCTTGAAAAAATAAATACATTGACTTAAAGACCCCAGTCCTCCATTCCCCTGCTTACCCACCTAAGTAACGAGTTGCCCAAATTAATGTGATCAAAATTTACCCATAGGCCCAGTATATTAACCAGGAACTTCCAGTGCTCTGGAAACTTGCAAAAAGAGAAAGTAGAATTACTAAAAGTATAAAAGCCCTGTTGAGGTCCACGTATTCTTTGTTTATGCCACTACAGAGTGTGCTAGACAAACGTGTACAGTTTGTAAAATCCTTTGGGAATCCCTGAGAAATGAAGTGGGGAAAAAAAGATTAGCTCCTCACACAAGGGCATCATAAAACTGCTGAACATTTCTGATTTAATTGTGCTTTGTGCCGGAGTATAAGGGAAAGTTATCACAGCTGAATGAAATGCTAAAGTCTCCTAGCAGCAAAATGCATCCTTTAATGTAATAGCAGGAATAAACCTCTCACTTCTAAAATATAGTTGACAAAGAGAGGCTAATAACTCATAAAGGTTTTACATACAATGAACAAAAAAAGTAAAAGCCTGTAAAGTTACTATGCATGAAATATGATGATCTAAATCAGCAGTTTAATTTGCACTTCTGCAGATCACAGCTAATATTCCCATTGCACGCAGCCATATTGAAACATACAGTTCCACTGACAACAGAAGAAAACATTGTGCATTTTCAATTGTTTTACTTAATTTTCTGTCTCATAAAATACGCCTTTTTCCACCTGTCAGTGGTACTTGACATGGTATCTGTTCAACAGAACTGAAAATACTAATCCTCTGAAAGCAAGGACCAAACTCCCTATTTGTCGCCTTGACTCATGGGAAACAGAGCCATATGTTTAGTGTAGAGTAATTATGGTGAATGATAACAAGGAAAGTTGCTGAGAGGGTTTCAAAGCAGGAATACCGCAGAATGCAGATGAGTTAAGATGGAGTTCAGCGCAGTCCTGAGATATGGGGAGTTAGGAGATCCAGTGGAGTTGTCTACCCAAGAACTTCCATTAGGATCTGGGGAGAGTGGTGTTTTGATCTAGTTTGCTAAATGCGGGCATTTACTTCCACCTGGAATGCTCTAGGTATCCTGCCCAGCCCACAGCCACCAGAGCAGAAGAGTGTGGGTCTGCTGTAGGTCCGGTCTCATACCTGACAGCCCTGGAGAGATGTCCTGGGTAATTGAG